GTGCGTGCGTGCGTGCGTGCGTGCGTGCGTGCGTGTGTGTGTGTGTTTGCTCTTGGCCAGTATATATATCCTATGACAAAAATACCCTAAGTTTAGAAGTATTTTGGGATTATTACACCCAGAGGACGCATAGTTAGAATTAGTTTGACATGAAAGACCTTGATCTAATATCTGTACTATAGTATACAATCGCTCTGCTATAATACTGCAGAAGCTTTTTGCAAACTATTGTAACGCGTAGAAGCGAACTAAACCGGGTTCGTCGTTCCAAAAGACGGTAACGATTGACTTTCACGAACCCACGAGTAATGTATTCTGATTGGATGAGCCTCGGAGGGGAAATTCACAGACGCACCCGAATAGAGTGCGCTGTTACTAACATGGCTGCGCACAACCATGAGCGGTTTTGAACACGTAAATTAATATTTTTAACGTTCAGTCGTTATATTAAGTGTCACTGTGACATATCGCATTCGAGACGATTACAAGCAATGTGGGGATGTTTGCTGAGTTAAATTCTGTGTTGGATATTCATCAAAACTGTTCGCTTGATGGGAAATTTATTCTCGTAACTGATAACCAAGTTGACGGAAACTTCATCGTGTCGCATTTTCTGTCCCTTTACCTGAAACGGAACAACTCCGTCTGTTTCCTTGCCTTTTCTCAATCATTTAATCATTACAACAACATCGGATTAAAGCTCGGTATCAATTGCACTCGTAGCCGAGAACAAAAACAACTCGTTTTTATTGACGGATTAAAAGCGTGTTTGGAAAGCTTTGTGCCTACTCGCAGTGATAGGACGAGTTCAACGGATTGTCGAAATAAATCGGACTGTGCGTTTAATTTTGTTTCGGAAGTCACCAGCTCTCCTTTGAGAAATTTGTTCATCCTCGTGAAAGAACAACTCGGTATCCTGGCATCACGTAATTGCCCGACTGTACTTATAATTGATGATGTTGAACCCTTGTTAGATCTTGGTCTCTCGGCAGCAGACGTTGTAGACTTTCTAAATTACATAAGTGTTTATTTGAAAGTTCCATGTCAGACATCCACCAATTGTTTACTGGTGCGCACACACCATGATACTGATATTGATGATGAGAGGTGTAATATTGTTTGGACACACTGCGTACATAAGTCAAATTTAAGTATTTGTGCATCCGGTCTTGCATCAGGGTTCTCCAAAGACGTTCATGGACAGGTGAAAGTTTAACTCGTTTCTATCGAAAAATTTGTTTAGAGTTGCTATTACAGTATGTCTAAATTTGTGAGTATTGTAGTTCTTGTAATTATAGAGTAAGTAGCTCACATAATGTTGCAACCAAATTTAATAAAGTTGAGTAAAGTGTAGTTCCTTTTACAATTTTTAATGTAGTAATCTTATATCTAGCTGGAAATAATAAAGTATGATTTTTTACATTGGAAGGGCATGCCATACAAACTTCATATCACTGTTACTAATTCTATTTACAGATTGATATAAAGTGGAAGGATATCGACGGAGAAATCGAGAAAGAAGAATCTAGACAGTTCAAAGTTGAAGAAAATTCGCTTCGGCTTTTTGCTATAGGAACATCAGCAGCGGTCCTATAAAAAAACTCGAATGCTTAGATCTCAAATGATCATGTCGGCAATCAATCAATTCTAGTACGCTAGAAAACTAATCTAATACTAGAAAGCAAACTGTACGTTACTATAAGCTAAGAATGCACATCTCGAAGATGGACGAAAACATAGTATTCAAGGAGGAAGATCTCCCCTACGAAGAGGAAATCCTGCGCAACCCGTACTCGGTGAAGTGCTGGCTGCGCTACGTCGAGCACAAGAAGGAGGGTCCAAAGGTGAACCTTATCTACGAGCGCGCGCTCAAGGAGCTCCCCGGCAGCTACAAGCTCTGGTACAACTACTTGCGGCTGCGTCGGCAGCAGCTGAAGGGGCGCTGCATCACCGACCCGCGCTACGAGGACGTGAACAACACGTTCGAGCGCGCGCTCGTCTTCATGCACAAGATGCCGCGCATCTGGGTCGACTACTGCGCGCTGCTCACCGCGCAGCAGAAGATCACGCGCACACGCAAGGTGTTCGATCGCGCCCTGCGCGCGCTGCCCATCAGCCAGCACGGGCGCGTGTGGCCGCTCTACCTGCGGCTCGTGCGCTCGCACGGCGTCCCCGAGACGGCCGTCCGCGTCTACCGGCGCCACCTGAAGCTGAGCCCCGAGAATGCGGAGGAGTACATCGAGTACCTTGTCGGCATCGGGCGCCTCGACGAGGCGGCCGTGCGTCTCGCGCGCGTCGTCAACAACGAGGCGTTCGTCTCGCGCGCGGGCAAGTCGAACCACCAGCTGTGGCAGGAGCTGTGCGACCTGATCTGCAAGAACCCAGACAAGGTGAAGTCGCTCAAGGTGGAGGCGATCATCCGGCAGGGCTTGCGCCGCTTCTCCGACCAAGTCGGCCGGCTCTGGTGCTCGCTGTCCGACTACTACATCCGCAGCGGGCACTTTGAGAAGGCTCGCGACGTCTTCGAAGAGGCGGTGCAGACCGTCATGACCGTGCGCGACTTCACGCAGGTCTTCGACGCCTACGCGCAGTTTGAGGAGAGCGTCATCTCGGCGCGCATGGAGGCGACAAGCGACGCGGCGGCAGACGACGAGGAGGAGGAGCTGGAGCTCGAGGTGCTCATGGCGCGCTTCGAGGACCTGATGGACCGGCGGCCGCTGCTGCTCAACAGCGTGCTGCTGCGCCAGAACCCGCACAGCGTGCACGAGTGGCACAAGCGCGTGAAGCTGTTCGACGGGCGGCCGCGCGAGACCGTCGGCACGTACACGGAGGCCGTGAGTACCGTCGACCCGAAGCTGGCGACGGGCAAGCTGCACACGCTCTGGGTCGAGTTCGCAAAGTTCTACGAGGCGAACGCGCAGGTGGACGACGCGCGCGCCATCTTCCGGCGCGCCGCCGACGTGCCGTACCGCAAGGTGGACGAGCTCGCCGCCGTCTGGTGCGAGTTCGCCGAGATGGAGATCCGGCAGGAGAACTACGACGAGGCGCTGCGGCTGATGACGCGCGCGACGGCCGCGCCAGCGCGCCGCGCCGCCTACCACGACGACTCGGAGACGGTGCAGGCGCGGCTCTACCGCTCGCTCAAGCTCTGGTCGATGTACGCCGACCTCGAGGAGAGCTTCGGCACGTTCAAGTCGTGCAAGGCCGTCTACGACCGCATCGTCGACCTGAAGATCGCGACGCCACAGATCATCATGAACTACGCGCTGTTCCTCGAGGAGCACGACTACTTCGAGGAGGCATTCAAGGCGTACGAGAAGGGCATCGCGCTCTTCAAGTGGCCGTACGTGTTCGACATCTGGAACACGTACCTCGCGAAGTTCATCGAGCGATACGGCGGCCGTAAGCTCGAGCGCGTTCGCGATCTCTTCGAGCAGTGCCTCGACGGCTGCCCGCCGAAGTTCGCGAAGAGCCTCTACCTGCTCTACGCGAAGCTGGAGGAGGAGTACGGGCTCGCGCGCCACGCGATGGCCATCTACGATCGCGCGTCGCGCGCCGTGCTGCCGCTGGAGCAGTACGAGATGTTCAACATCTACATCAAGAAGGCGGCGGAGCTGTACGGCGTCACGCACACGCGCGAGATCTACGAGAAGGCCGTGGACGTGCTATCCGACGAACCGGCGAGGGAGATGTGCCTCAGGTAGGTTCCACTCGTGCAAGCTTCGTTCCTCGACTCTCGATGTGCGATTTGTCACACCTAAAGAGAGAAAAGTTAAAGCACTACGATCAGCGATCTAACTTTTCATCAGCGAGTTTTTGCCATTGGCCATTAAGTCCTGTTGCGATTCGCGGACTTAGAAACGTCGGAGCGTTGGGTCTGCACGTGCGATCTCCCTTGACGTGCGAATCACCGCGCTGCTCCGAGCGTGTCGGCGATCCAACTTTAGGCTTAACGCGTGCTCCCCTCTACGTACGATTCATTGCACCTAAAGAGAGAAAAGTTTGTCGGCGATCTAACTTTGAATTTTTTAAATTTAGAATTAAATACAGTCGTGATTCGTGGACTTCGAAACATTTGAAATTTTGCGCTAGAACGGAAAGGCGATATTCTCTTTTTCACACACTCCACTTTGCAATGATCTATGCCCCTCTTAAATGTGTTCTTACTAAATTCTTGGTGGCCCGTCTCAACGGACTCATTGGCTTTGCGTTAGGTTCGCTGACTTGGAGTGCAAGCTGGGAGAGATCGACCGGGCGCGATCGATCTACTCGCACGCGTCACAGATCTGCGACCCGCGCGTCGCTCCCAAGTTTTGGCAGACGTGGAAGGAGTTTGAGGTTCGGCACGGCAACGAGGACACTGTGCGCGAGATGCTGCGCATCAAACGCAGCGTGCAGGCCGTCTACAACACGCAGGTACGAGTCGCCGGCACTAGGTGGCAGCAGCAGCAGCGCGGCGGGTGACGCCCCTTAATAACAATAGTATCTTGTGAAATTGTTTTTCTGTACATTCCACGTACAGATTGTTATCTGTACAATTCGCTACCATTTTGCAATTTTGTAAATAGTGAGATGTGCTGTATTTTTCAGGAATTGCTGTGCAAACCGTACATGTATGTACATTCCTAGACAAAACGTGTTTTACAAGCGTATTTGATCCTAATTTGATAATAATTATTAATTCGATTCCCCGTTGTCTCGTTATCAGGTGAACTTCATGTCGGCGCAGATGCTGGCTGCCTCCGGCTCGCAGGCGACGGTCGCCGACCTGTCTATAGGGGGCGGCGTCGGACAGGACATGAACGACATGCGCATGCTGGAGCAGAGGGCTGCGACGCTGGCCGCCGAGTCACTGAAGGACCAGCCGAAGAAACCAGATAAGGGCATAATGTTTGTCAGGTAAGGGGGTGCTATTTGTTAGGCAGGTGTTTACTGTTTGTTAATTAGGGTCATAGTGTTTGTTAAGTAAGGAAGTACTATTTGTTAGATAAGGGTATACTGTTTGCTAGGCAAGGGCATACTGATGTTTAGTAAGGGTATACTGTTTGCTAGGCAAGAGCACACTCTGTGCTTGGTAGGGGCATAATGTTTTTGAAGTAAGGGCATACTGTTTACTAAATGAAGGTACAACAGTTTGTTAGATGAGGACATTCTGTTTGCTAAGTAAGGGCATAGTGCTTTTTTTGTTTTTGTTTGCATTCATAAGCGACCCTGTAGTGTTCGAATTTTTTATCTCGAGTAAGTATCCTACACTGTCCTAGGGGCAATTGAGGGTGGCAAACTCTTCGTTGGTCATTCTCTCATCTCGGATTATCTCGATGCATCACAATTGTCGAAATCACACAGCTAACCGACGAACGTTTACTATCCATGTAACATTGTAAGCGATGCATAGAGTTGCATCCATCACGATTGTTGCATCCATCAGGGGTTGAAAATTAGATTTTTATTATGGTAGCCATGTGGGAATCCATTGTCTGGCTTGCTTGATACAATGTATAGCATCCCGTTTATGTACATGTATGACTGACCTGACCCCACCCTGATTATCATCTGCCACGCTTTCTTATATGCTTATACTATGTCTGCTGCGAGACCGATGAGAATGAGTGTGCATGAGCCCGTTCAGATCGCGCGCACTCGCTCTACGCGCACTCGCTCAAAGTTGGAAATCTGGTAACCAACACAAAAATCTACTATCCCGTTGATATCGGGATACCGCTAAATTCCCCTGTCCATGCGTCTAATTGACGAGCACGTCCCATACGTACGTTCACGACGTAACGCGTCATTACAGGGGCGAGCGCGCTGCCGAGGAGGAGATGGTCGAGGCGGTGAAGCATGCGAATCCGGACGAGATCCAACTGGACGAGGAGTTTGAGAGCGACGAGGAGGAGACCGTGAAGGAGGTGGAGGTTCCCAGCGCCGTGTTCGGCGAGCTGCGCAAGGAGGAGAACGACGGGGAAGAGGGGGAAGGGGACGCCGGTCAGGATAACTGAGAACGACGGGTAGGATCAACTGTCTTCTTTCGTGTGTGTTCTTCTGTTGGCTTCTGGGTATATTTTAGATGCGTGCTATACCAAAGAAATGATACGTATGATAGAAATGAAGAGATGAAAGAAAGATGGGTATATGATGCGTACGAAAGAAAGGTATGAACATCTCGCAGGTGGAAAGGGAGTTTAGACGTGTATGCATGAGTGTTCATCTTCGTCTGCTGTGTTGTTCTAATGCTCCGATTACAGGCTTCTGTGGACGAAACACAAGCAAATGTATGCACATGTATGCATTGGATGTCTGCTGAGAAATAGAAATAGTAGATTTAGTATTAGATGGTATGTGATAGGTGTATTCTCATTTCTCAGTGAAGATTCTAGATGCATTTTTCGTTTTTCAGGTGTGATGTCTCTGCACCGGTGCCTGGCTGATAACTTGCCTGCTGCAGCATCGCTGTGTGCGATGCAGACGTCAACGAGACCATATCCATGTGTGGTACAACAATCGACGATATTTACACTCGTCTGGTCGTGTTTAGCTTTAGTTATGAGACGATATATGGTACTTGGGGGCGTATTTACTCTTATTTTTTCCAATGATGCACGTGTACAAGGGTATAGATTTTGTTTCTCTTAATCTGTGACGTTAACCCTGTATATCATTTATGAATGAACACTTGCAGGAAGACAACCTCAGAATTTGTATGCATCAATATCAGTGTAACGTTTCATCATGAGCATTACAATAGATTGTCTAATAGTGATTTCCAACGTTTTGAACGCAATGTCATATATAGTGCCATCAATAATAATATTATGACTTACCCTAATATAAGAACATAGAGGTAATCGGAGTGTGATTTTAAATATCATAAAATTATAAGGCATTGCGCAGTGAATGAGGAATATAGATTTGACGGTGAGGTTATGATCTTACGTACGACAGTGTTTATTATAGTAGTATATTATATTACTGTAGTGTTGTGTGTTATCCAAACGTGATGCATTGCTCTAAATGTGAAAGATTTGTAAAGAAAAAAACATTTTGTACTTAGTTACTAGAATTTCTTATTGTATAACACGCAACCAAGTTGGTGGAAAATTCTAAACGTTTTCTTTCAATTCTAAAAACGAGTTATTAAATGTGGTACATTCAGTTATGCATATATTGCTCTCTATATTGTGATGTCACGGATGAGAGTTGTCTTGCTTAACCCTGCACAGCTGTCCAAGAAATTTCAACTAGTTATCAATAAATTGAACAAAAGCAACTAAAAATGTTATTATCTAATTTGTTATCATAAACTGGAGTGCAAGTCATCTGAAACAAATAATGATTTTAAGACATATTTTTTGTGTACAATTTGTGCTTTTTATTATTGAAAATTCGTTCATAACATTCAATTTTATCAGTTTGTCCCTTTCTAATTTTGCTAGATTCGATTATGACCGTAATTTGGGATTAGAGTCCTAGCTTAACGTTTGATTAGCTTTCAGTTCACATAGTTCACTATACATCAGGAGTAGATAATAGGGAATTATTAACTATCCCTATTATCTACTCCTGCTATACATGTAACCAAACTTATTACATCTATACAGTGAAGCAAACGTACAAATATAAAAATATTATTTACATTACATACAATGCATCTGCTAGAAGTACGGTGAAACTACGAAGACTACGATGTTCAAAGACTTCCATATTTACTAAGCTCCATCCGATGCATCTCCATACTATAAAATAAGCATTGGCCAACTACCAGTCCACCGTGATAACAATGAAAAAATCGCCATGGTGAAAATAACATTCAGTACTTTGTATGTTTTCGCGGTGATGAACTACAGTATTACTATTACAATAACTAATCACGAGTGTCACTCGGTGAAAAAATACACAGGGGCTCGGGGCGATTTAGCCCCCGAAATGCCAAAAAGAGCGCCGGAAATGCCAAAAAGAGCCCCCGTAAATTTGCATAGAGTTCAATGCAAACCAAATTTTAGAGTGCTATTTTCATGCACGCGAGCTTGAAAAGTAGCCCCCGAAAAATTAATTTTATTTTTTTCCCTGGTGTCACTACCGACACATTTAGTTCTTGAGGGTGATGCTCACTATGGAAACGTCTTCGTACGGCTTATCCGTCTTCGGGTTCGTCTTCACGTTGCTGATGTTCTGCACGACCTCCATGCCCTTCGTCACCCTGCCAAACACCGTGTGCTTGTTGTCGAGCCACGGGCACGGCACGACGCTGATGAAGAACTGCGAGCCGTTCGTGTTCGCGCCGGCGTTCGCCATGCTGAGCGTGTACGGCCGGTCGTGCCGCAGGCCCGCGTTAAACTCGTCCTCAAACTCGCCGCCCCAGATCGACTCGCCACCCGTGCCGTCACCCTTCGGGTCGCCCGTCTGCACCATGAATCCCTTGATGATGCGGTGGAACAGGTGTCCGTTGTAGTAGCCGTTCTTGCTGTGCACGCAGAAGTTCTCGATCGAGCGCGGACACTCGGCGGCGAACAGCCGGCAGTGGATGTCGCCGAGCGACGAGTGGATCACGCAGCTGCCGTACAGCCGCTGCTGCTGCTTCGACTCGGTCGCCGCAACGACGTCCTCCTTCGACGGCTTCTCGTTGAAGACGTCCCGCTCGGCATCGGCGCCGCCGCGCGCGTCGCCCGGCTCGCGCCGCGTGAACAGGTAGAAGCGGTTCTTGCGGTACGCCGTGCAGACGAGCGTCGGGTCTCCGCGCACCCCGGCCAGCGCCGGGTTCTCCGACGCCTCCATCTCGACGGTGAGCGCCGTCTTCGGCCGGTCGGCGGCGCCCTGGAAGAGCGCGACGTCGACGAAGCGCGCGTTCTCGAGCTTGCCGAGCTCGCGCACGCACCGGTTCGTGCGCACGTTCACGAGCTTCACGCCCGTCAGAGTCGAGTACAGCACAAAGTTGCCGCTCTCGTCGAAGACGACGTTAGCCGCCGCGAGCGCGCCCGTCTTGTCCAGCTCACGCTCGATGGCCATCCGCCGGCCGAACTCCATGTTCGGCAGCTGCTGCTTCGTCTGCTGCAGCTCCGTGTACTGCTTCAGCGACTCGTCGAAGACGCGGTAGAGCTTGCCAGTCGCGAAGCGGAACAGCCGCACCTTGCGGTCCATCGCCGTCGACGCCAGCAGCTCGCCGTCGGGTGAGAACGCAAAGTTCGTCGGGTGCGTGCGCGCCTTCGCGAACTCGTACAGGTCCGTGTCGAGCTTCGAGTCGAAGCGGACGCACTTCGGGAACGCGTACTCGCCGCGCGCGCCGCACCAGTACTCGACCATCCCCGAGAGGTCGGCCGACACGGCGACGCCGCACACCGCGTTGTAGCGCATGCACGCGACCTCCTTCTTGTGTAGCCGGTCGAGGGTCCGCATCGGTTCGGAGTCTCCCGCGCCGTCGTAGACGCGGATCGTGCCGCACGCGCGTTCGGAGACGGCAACGGCGTGCACGGCGTCGCCCGTCGCGTGGATCCACTCGACGCGGCCGGGCACGAAGCCGAGCTTCATCATGTTGATCATGTCGAAGTTGACGACGTCGAAGACCTTCATAGGGATGAAAAGGACGAATTTCATTTTCAGAGAAAATCACAAGTTGTGGGGGGGCGAAGCCAACTATTTATACATTACACAAATACAATGTTTTACTTGTATAATTACTTGATAAATACAAACAAATTGGAGTATTACACACACGTTCTCACATGTGTACATGTAACACACATGTACATCAAGCGCGTAGCCAGGGGGGGGGTCCTGGGGGACCTAGGACCCCCCAATCAAAATCCACATTTTTTTTTCCTCTTGTCAGGCAGCGAGCTATGTATATTGACGTTAGTGACACAGCATGGTCGAGTTAGGTGTCGTTGTAGAGCTGCAGAAGAAATAGTATTGTCAACAAAACAGCGTCTAAATTGATTTTAAAGCACTATTTTTACATTGAATTGAAAAAAAAATTTCAGACCACCAGATTCACCCCTTGTTACTCGCTCGAGGACCCCCCAATCCAAATTCCTGGCTACGCCCTTGATGTACATAGCAGAGTCTTATTTAATTGAAGGTACTGTTGAGAGTTAAAATATAGATTTTACATTCTTAACCTAATCACCCCCCACGTAAAAAAAAAATTCTCATCGAATTTAGACGTTTCACAAAATAGACCCCACGGCCTGTCAAATCCGAGAAAAATTTCTCGGATCGAAGGAAAATTCTCATGCTTGCACCTTCATGGTCTCGTCGCTGGCGACCGTGCAGTACAGGCGGCCGGACGAGCTAAGCGCGACGTCGTGTATCGTGCCGAGGTGGCTGCGGAAGTGCTTCACAAACTCGATGCCCTCGGCCATCTTCTTCCAGAACTTGACGTGCCCGTCGACGCTCGCCGTGATGATGAAGTCCGTCTTCGAGATGCGCACGTGCGTGACGACGTCGCGGTGCATGTAGCTCTTCTCGTAGGCGCTCGCAGAGGGCAGGCTGTCTAGGTAGACCTAACAAACAGACAGACCATGATCAAGAGTTTTGTACGCACCGGAAAGAATTCGCAAAACACTGGTATTTCGCACGACAGCGTGAAATCGTGTAATTAATTATTGTTTTTAATATTATTATGTGTGTATTACATGAGATATGTGACCCTAACGACATGTATATATATATACGGGTTATACCTGTTCATATTCAAGAACTTTCCTCTTCTTAGGCTTTGCAGCTTCGGAGGGCATAGGACCGATCCATCCCTCATCACCAGACTCTTCTCCTGCGTCATCTTCCTTTGGGGAGTGTGGGCGCTTTCCATCAGCTTCACTTTCAGCCATGTCGCATGGGATTACTTTTAAGTCAAGTCAGCTGTATGATTAAAGAAGTTGTACAGGTTAGTAATGTACTATAAGTTATAACAGTCAAATATCATGGATGACAATCGAGCAGAAAAGATCATTCTGTAGCAGGTTTACACCTACAGATACAGCGAACACAATACCAACCCGAGGAAACGATTATAATGTCATTTAAATTTTAATACACAATAGCACTCTGCAATGTACTTCAACTACTTGCAACCACTTTTGTTTTGTTGCAGTTGTTTCAATGTTTGATTTCAAATGCAGCATGAATTGTAAAAATTTTGTATGTGAATTGCTTAGCATTGAATCTTGCATTCAGCATCTGATTTAACTTTGATTTGAAGGGCCCTAGCCTAGGCCGAACTGTAAATTGTAAATCGTAAGTACCCACAATACACATCTAGACTAGCGCCAGGCTGCGCCCGCTAAGAGAAGAGTCAAGACCACCGCCACCGGCTAAAAACTTAAACTTGCACGATCGTTTTTACAGTTATTTTTGTAAAAATTGAGATATACATAGACTGCGTATAGCTACTAATTACTTAATACGTGTGTTATGTATAGTAAAATGTAGTGCAGCTGATACAAAGTCCCAAAATACGTGTACACACGCTTCCACTAGTCCACCTGCTCATCCACTCTGTTCATTTACATTTACACGCTTTCTTACGCCGCCTGGCGGTGAGGTCATGACCCCGCCCGAATGATAGGGTACATTCCAACATGGTCGGCAGTAGCCAATAATTTTGTGAACTCCACGAAAAGTTTGTAATAAACTCTTAAGATGTCTTCTCACGAGGTGAAACTTCACATATATGACCTTTCTAGGGGCTTGGCAAAGTCTATGTCTATGGCCTTTCTTGGTAAGTATTGCCGTTTTAGAGAATTAAGCCTGCAAAATAAGCCTAACTTAGTAACTAGTAATAAGCCATGCATGATGCATCATGCAGTGCACGAAAACATGAGTAAATTCACGAGAGCCAATACTATATATAGTAATACTAGTAATAGTAATACTAGTAATAGTAATACTATTAGGTTTCATCATTACTATTAACTTTCTTAATATGTGGGCTGTATCTGAAGTCTGTTAAAACATAACTTCAGATCTTTACCAGAAAGGCATCTCAATTTAATTCAATTATCTAGTTTAATTTATTTTATTTGTATTTTTTTTTAATTAAATATTGTCTAGCTCACTAAATTAGCGTCCAAGAGTCAGCTAGACGGCCACACCTTAACAATGGAATGACAAATGAAACCCAGTGGCTATGCAACTGAATTCAGCCTATATAGGCCTACTCAATACTCTTAATAGTTCAAACTCCACGACATATGGCGTTCTCGCTCTGGCTCAATTTACCACTGCCACAAGTAGATATCCGTGAGAATTTCTAACGCTTTTTACCATAAGTTTTACAGCGGCCAGGTTACTCGTATCCTATATAATAAGATTTGTGCTGATAAAAGTTGCAAAGATATTAAAAATCCGACCATTATTTTATGAAAAATATGATAAAATAGTCATACGAAATAGTGCGCGGATTGTGTGTCCATTTACTACTTACAAATCATACGCGGCTATTGGATTGCCATTCGCTGCATTAACCCGGAGCTCCGCCCACTTGAAAAATAGTACCAGTTTTGTGGCAGTGGTATCCTGAGTTGTACGAAGTTGTACTATATGGCTGCATGCAGTTTGATATTAGTTAATACTGCCCACACACTGTATCAGTACTAGTATTGGCTCTAGTTAGTAATACTAATAGTATAAAGTATAAACAGTTAGGTCTGTGCAGTGTATGACTAATTTAATGTTATCACCAGTCGCTAGGAGCAGAGTATATTAGCATTGCCTTTATATTGGGAAGTGCTCAGATTTGATCCAACCACAGTTTCTGTGTCAGTTTTGGTGTTCTCAATGCTACAGTTACTTATCAAATATCGGATATCTTTGTAAGAGAACCATGCTTTCTCGCTGGAAATTAGTAATATCTTCCTCAGTTTAAATGTGTCATAGTCACTAAAGAATAGCCTATAGATGCAGCCATGTTTAGTGCTTTAAATAGCTGTGTAGGGTTGTGTTTGAAGCTAAAATTGCATCCGGCTGGTATATACTATCTCATTATATTGTAACGTTTTCAAAAGACTGCAAAAGTATGGAAATATAACTCCTGGCATGATGTTTAACATGAACAATAACATAGTACAATGCCAAATACAGAGTAGAGACTTTCCAGAGGCTTGAAACCATCTCCTTAGGAGAATCTCCGAAGACAAGTAAAATGGTGAAGAGGAAGAAAAGGATAGATATAACAAACAAGAACAGAGTTTATTAACGATGTATAGCGCACGTATATTGTACGAAGGCGAGACTATATTCTAGGCTGTCGTACAGTGCTAAGGTGTAGCAAGCAGTTTATACCATGCCTTTATCCCGCACAACAGTATCAACACAGACAGCATAGTAGCTGAGGGCAGTAAGGTACAAAGCTTGCCCAGTACTTATCAGTCTATAAACGTGAATTGAAGGCATTGAACTGAACTGACAGGTAACTGTTAGAGGGATGCAAGATGGCAGATTACAAAGTAATCAGTAAAGCTGAGAGAGACAGACAGAGAGAGAGAGAGAGAGAGACAGGCAGACAGACAGACAGAGAGAGACAGGCAGACAGACATACAGACAGAGAGAGAGAGAGAGAGAGAGTGAGAAAAAGAGAGTTCTCTTATGCACAAGTCCTGCTGTTGAACGTGTTCTCCCAATGTACTTAGGCATGAGTAGATGGGCGCGTAACACGCACGTTGAAGTGTGAACACCGTCGAACGTATTAGCAGCTCAGTGAAATCAGATCTCCAACTAAAACTGACCCAGTACGAGTCAGGGCTTGACTCCGTCCTCTTGTACCAACAAAGCTCAGCGATTGCCAACTGTTTGTATTACGTGCTTACAAACTCATATTCACCAGCTTCGTAACAAATTCAACTGTAAGCACTCAACTGTAAAACGGCCTCATACCTCAAATCTGTGCCCATCACATATGTCCCCTTCCCCAATCTGAATGTTTTGAGGGGAATAGTAAGACAGACAAACCAAATAAGACCAACAAGAAAAGAAGAAAAAAGAAAATAAGAAAGACAGACGAGAACAACCAAGGCAACCACCCAGTCAAGAGCTTATACCATCCACTTGCCTGTAAAGAAACTTATTGAATTATTGTATTATTGATTTATTAATGTAGAATTCTCGAGCAAAAACAGTTGTGACAAACAAATAGTTATGCGTAAGGAAATTTTCATGTATCCAACATAGAGTTGAACTGATTCTGTTGCTTTTTGCTCTTGTTTCCTGGTTGTTTTCTTTTGTTTGCTGGCAGGAGGGGTGAAGAATGTGCATGAGGGTGAAAGATTGGGCTAGTTAGAGAAGTGTTATTAAAGTGATTACGTCACCATAAATAGTAAAAGTAAAAATAATATTTCCACTTTTTCACAAAATGTAAGTAATTTTGTTCACTTTTTATGGTTAAATTGCTGCATTATACTTCCTATTTTTACTATATTGTTTGATGTAAACATACACTCGTGACTCATACATAGCCCATAGCAAGCAATTAATGTCAGGATCATAATATCAAATCGTCCAGGTTTTTTTGGATTTTTAACTAGTTGAGAAACAATCTTATCAGGTAAGAATTTGACGATACATTTAGTCCTGTTAGTACTTACTAAAATGTAAAAAAAAATCGCAACAAAAATTTTACAAATATACACCATAGAAAATTCGTTACGTAGTCAATTTAAAGAGATGATAAGACATTTTTATTGTGAATTTTTGTTTAACTGCAGGAAAGCAACTGGACGGCATATGGCACACTGGCATCGTCGTATATGACAAAGAATATTTTTACGGAGGTGCAGGAATACAGCAATGTGAACCTGTAAGTTGAAGACGAAATTATTAATAATTTGCAGGCTACACTTTAAGTATTTGATAGTTTACTTTAAGAGCATTCAGCCCAGCTGCCTGAATCACACGCCGCGGCACCTAGCGTGCAAACATTGATAAACCTTACGTTAACTTCGATATATTACGCAGATGCCAAGCTATTACATATATGTTGCTGTCACACTAAGTGCTATATAGTTATAGATGCTTGTTTACCACAAAATGATTAAAGCTGTTATTACTTTGCTTTCAAGTTGAAGTGGGCTCGTGAAATTGAATATTCTAAAATATTTGTGTCAGGGCACAACGATTCTTGGAGCACCAGAGCAAGTAGTTTCGCTTGGGTCAACTGACCTACCATGGGAGTTGTTTGCAGAATACCTTGATGGACTATCAGAGGAAACCTACAGGTGAGTAGTTGTATGAGTAAGAGTTATGAGTATGAGAATTTGTAAGAGTTCACCATGTTTTATGTTATGTCCAGAATAGAGAACAACACATTATTATGTGCATAATTATTAGCGTCATACTGCATTGAAGAAATTCTAAGTCTTCATTGTCCTTATCTCACTTGTACATTGTTACAAACATTGACTGTTAGGCAAAGTAATGTCCCCTTAAGTTTGTTTCTTATTCTGTCGATGTATCGAAAGGGGTTGCTAATAGCTTCTGGTCACCCGAGACAACTCGTGTTTGTTCACAAGTTACGTTCGGTAAGAGTTAGACTCTTGTCAAAAAAAAACGTTGATGCTTTACTAAGTTTCGGTAGTGCATTGCTGTAGTGCCACTTGTCATGAGTCATCTGCTATACGGTATATATACGTACAACTGATCGTGAGTCATCCCGAATATGTACAGCCCTCCCTGGCTGTCAGGGTGCGGGTGTGAGTAAGTGAGGATAGTCACTTCTTCACACAAAGGTGTCTAGTGGTGGGGGTGGCCGGCACAAAGTTGCATTGGATGTAGTGGATTGACCATAAGAGTGATCAAGTTTCAAACTAGCTAGCAAGCTATATATAGGAGAGCAGTGTCCCAGCAAGCACAGGCGCGTTATCCCAACAGACACACTGATAGGCAGGCTGCCTGCATATGTGTTTATGTGCTATAAATAGCAGCAGAGGCAGCGCCTAGTCTAGACCCTTCTAGCATCCGTAGTAGAATTAAGTACAACAAATCACATGCCTATAAATGCGGAACACTTATTAAGCTATATTGCACACGTACATGTAATAGTTAGTGTAGAAGCTAGAAGCAAAAAACTTCGTTTTCATTAAGATTATGAATGATATGTTCGAATGCCCTACAGTAAGGATCGTCTGGAGCTGGGTTCTTACAGCGCATGCTGTTAGGGAATTTGATATCATTTGCTGTTGTGTTGATTTAGCCCGTGTTTACAACAATGTTTAACCCGCTTCCAGACACGCTGCTTTTCTCGTTTGTGTAGCCCAGGAATTATTTCATATAGGAGTTGTTATAACACTCGAGAATTCTTGTAATTGGCAAACATGCAATCTACCAGTTTTGCCGTTACGCACCCTTAATAATATTAATTACATGTAGAGCAAAGGGTCACATGTGCTCTGTGCTTAAGAGCCTTAACTCTCTGCCTCTTACCAGCCTTTTGCACATTGGGATTTCCATGCCGTGACACTCCCTCCCCCGCAAGTGCTAAAAAAGGAACTGTCTGTTATTTTGGTAAATAGAAGATTTCTCCAGGGTATTTTTTGTAAAATGTTTAGCGCTCGGTAAATAGTTAATTGGGCGTTCGGGCGTACTCTCGAGAGTGGTTTTGCGCCGGCTTCTAGCAGGGCCAATGTCGAGTCATTCTGTGAGCGCCATTTACACGGTTTGGGCGTGCGGCAGGGGAGGAACGTTGTTGTCAAAGCGTTTCTGTGCGTTGCAGGGGTGAGAACTATAGTCTGTTAGGGCAGAACTGCAACAACTTCAGCAGCGAGGTGGCTCAGTTTCTCACCGGCGACAGCATACCCAGTTTTGTTACGGACCTGCCGGGAGAGGTGCTACAGACGTAAGTGCGGTTGGCTAACGCGGCACCTCGTGTATACGCTGCTTCCCTGCGCAGTGCTGTAGCCTGTAGTGTGATCTCGACATTTAAGTACTGCGCGTGTTCAATCTGTCAATGTTGCTGAGAGGGTCTATGTCCCCCGGGGTACTGCCGGAACGTACCCTGGTACTATATTATATGCCGGACCGTTCCTCGCCTACTCCACTAACGAGTCTAGGGATTCGCCTTCCCCTTCTCCCTAACCCTAACCCGAACCCTAACCC